ATAAATAAAAATAAAATTAACATCTTTTTATAAAATTAATCAAATTAATATTTTTATTTACATATTTTCTCCCAAACCAAATCATCAACTTTGTTTTCACACTTACTCTTTTTTTTTTGCTGCTACTTTCATAGATAAGTTTCTCTTGTTCTTGGTTTTTATTATAAATTCATCATGTTAATCACGAATTTCTTGATTTTGTGACCCATAATCACAAATGTATTGATAGAAAATATTTAAAGTAATAAAAAAGCTAAAAGAAAACCATTTTGAGTGTTTTGGTGGAATTAATTATCCTATTTCATTTGCATTTCTGTTGAAAACTTTTACATGGATTTTCTTGTTTTGCTCTACATCTTATAAACTACTTAATGGAAAAGTTGGTTTCAACTTTGTTTTCTGTGCAGGCAAAACTTCTATTACATTCTTATCTAAATTGCTAGTTATTTTGACTTATGGAAATGTGGTTATGTTTTTAAATATATAACTAATAATTTTTTCCTACATGGAACATAAGTTGTATTTTTGCTCTTTCACTTTTATCTTATATAGGTTGTTGCTTGTAAGAAAATTAGTATTGATGAGCCTCTACTCACAATGATAATGAGAGCAACCCTTCACACACATACTAGTTGGTTTAAACTCCGAATGTGTAAAGATCGCTCTGAAAATCTCCTTGGAATAGATTTGCCAAAGGAAAATAATGTTGCTTTCCTTGTTCGTGATGCCACATCAAAGTCAAATGCTAATAGTTGCAACCTCGAATCTTCCCAAATTAGTTTCTCTTCAAGTACTTGGACATTAAAAGATGATAGTAGTCCTAATCAATCATTTTCCATAGATGTTTGTGATGCGAATGCAATACTAAAAGTACTAGTAAGTTAAGCATATTCCTTGCACATACACAACTGAAATGATTTTGTTGTTGGATCCAAGAGTGTTGCTTTTGCTTTATGTATGGACTTTGGTTCCTCACAAATGTCATAAGTTTATATTCTTGTTTCATATAGGAATTTCTTGCTTTACTAAGAGTTGATGCCATCCATCTCCTTGCACAATAGGATGGAAGTGCTAAGATTGTAATCCAGCAACTATTTTCATAGTTTTAGTTTTATTGCCACTCTAGCAAAAGTGTTTATTCTTTCTTTAATTTATTATTTGTCATTGGATGTGCTAAATTTATATCATTGTGTATATAAAACCTTTAAAAGGGAAAAGCCTACTAGTTTACAAAAACTGTTTCCCAGTATTGTTTTATAAATCCTAGCATAAGGTGTCAGTTTTTTCAAAATTAAGGAAATTATCATTGCTAATATTAAGAAGAATAAACTATAAATTTGTTTATGAGTAATTATGGTATCCCCATTGGTTAATTCTGTAGAAGCTCATGAATTTTTTTTTTTTTGTTTTCCAAAAGTAGAAGCCTGTGAAGTTTAATAGTGAAAGCACAAAGGATTACCAACTAGACACAAATCGCATTATTAATTAATGAGAGGAATATACATAAGTATGTAAACAAATTATATATTAAGTAAACTTTCTCTTAACAATGAAGGGTAACCCATAAAGAGCAGCATTAATAAAAGCATACTAAAGTTTGATATCACCAAATTCTCATTCCACCTTCCTACATTACTCAAAGCATAAGTAGTCATAACGACTACTAACAAAATCTTTTTAAGTTACTACCTTAGCATACCCTTTACCTTAGCATACCCTTTAGATACACAACTGCACAAACCTTATTGAGGTAATTGAAACAAAGATATATGATACCTTTTTTGTACTTGAATTCAACATGCAACATATTAACCTTACTTTTGAACCATTGACACGTTAGCCTTCCCACTTGGTTAAATTTAGGTGTTCTAAAAATTTCATCATACATGATTGGATCATTTCCTACGCCAATTATTTGATCATTACACGCAACAATATTGAAAATTGGCATGACATTTGGTAGGATTCAATGGTGGAGAAAGTTAACTGCTTCCCATAAATGAACTGTTAGTGATCCTCTTACATTCCCTAGTACAATGGAATGAACAAATAGCTCAGTATGCCCATTATTTTCATTCTCTTGAGTTGTTTACATAGTGCATGCAACAAGCTAAAACTCAAAATGATACTTTACTATGCCTCCGTTTACCTATTGCACCCACATGCAGTTGATGACCTCCATGAATATATTACTTGGACATAAGGACTTCTTAACATAGGTCTGATTGCTATAGACATCGAAAACCATTCTTGTTGTTTTGAACTCATCAGCCACCATTGATGAGAAGCTTATCAAATCACTCCAGTATGGATTTGGTGAGCTAGGGCTTTTGATAAACATCGATAGTTGTTGGAGTTAATTCAACATCACCATTGCCTAATCACCAAGCCTCTTACACAAAGAAACCAGATAATTCCCATCTAGAGATAAGGAGGGACTCGACACAAAGATAGATCTCACACCCCTTATTCCATTTTGCAATCAAATCAATGGTGGATACTTTGTTAGTGCTTCAAACAAAGTCTCTGCCTTGGGATAAGTTGCGAAGATACCTTTATTATCATTTGATGGAAGGACTTCGCCTATAATCAACCTTTCAACCTGCACGATATCAATATGAGA